AAATTAAGCTTTTTAAAACTGTGCCTAAAAATATATATTGATTTGTTCTTCAATGTTCTATTTTTTAATTAGTTTTTCTTTTATTTTCAAATTTTTCTTTTTTTTTCCCATTTTTCTTTTCATTTATCTTCTTCTGTACAGTAATATTAAAATACAACCAATTTCAATTGGAATGTTCTGGTTGCAGTCAGCCCAGTCTAACATTTTCATGTTATGTCCAAATCAAAACCACAAGATGGCAGCAGGGACATTTCAAGAACAGGTCACTTTAAAGAAAAATCTACCTAATATATATTTTTAAAAAAAAGGCCATTTTTATTAGAGAATTGTCTTTTACCATATAGAAAGGCCAGTCTAAATTATGAATATTATCATTATTATAAGCTAAACATAAGATTTAAAACTGAGCCTGCATCACTGGTAGTCACAGTTTATTGATTAATTATTTAATTTAATGATTGTTTTATCTCAGAATTTATGACCATCAGTCACTTTAATGGTAGAGAAAAGGAACCGACGTCAATGAGCTATTCACAAGAAACATTCAACAACTCAATTCAAACAAAACACTCAGTTATTACGTACGTTTACTCAGAACGTGACTTTACGTTGCAAGTTGATCAAGATGACATAATTAATATTTGCTTTTTGTCCCTCAGTGAGGATGGGTTAAAATGTCCTGAAGGAAAATGGTTAAACACAGCGTGTTGGTTTAGTTCTGCTCAGTTGAGCAAAGTTTTGTTGTAGCCATCCAAAATCAATCTCAAGTCAAACATCAACCTGTTTGTCCAGCAGGCGTTCACTGACAGAGATAAAAAAAAAAGGGGGACATGATTTGGGTAGCAACATATAAATATTTTATTTTAAATCCTTCATTGTACACAAAACACAGTTTGATTCAAGAACAATCAATAAAAGAACGCACTGCATGTTACAAGGTCACCCACAAATCAAACACACTCAGAGATTTGTGTTTATATGAACGCATTCATTTTGTTTGACTGTTTTCTGTAAAACCTCTGGATAGATCTGCTATTTTTTTGATAGAAGATAAATGTTCTCTTTTAAATGAGACAAAAACATATACATATACCATCACCTACTGCAACAAGTATTAAAGGAAAATACATTAAAGAACTCCAAATATTATTAATTTTAAGAAACCCTGAGGAAATCCAGAGACAGGCAAAGTTCCAGTCCAGCTTCACTTTATTTTATGCAGAAACACACACGCACGCACGCACGCGCGCGCACGCATGCACACACACACACACACAATGCCGTCATTAAGATATAAAGTTTCCACACAGATGACAATGTGTGATTTTAAACAAACACTACACCACAAGTTTCTGTTTACCGAAAACGTTCTGCACATGAAGAATGGGTCATTACTACTTTAAGTCTTTCCTTTAATCAGGTCTTCTCAAGGTGGGCCATAACCTCCTTTAGGATGAAATTTTATATGTTCTGCTTTGTTCTGGGGGAACACATGGGTGTTGCAATAAAACAGCCTAACCTGATAGACTTAAAAACAAAATAAAACCACTTACTGTTCACACTCCAGCTTCTGTCCCTGCTGAACAATTTGTTCATGCATGACATCCTTTTTCCTATTACAGCAGCTGGACTGTAATCCAATAGTTTAAATCTTTTGTACCTTGTTAAAGCACAAAGAAAAAGAAAAGTGATGCATTTTTTCCAAAATTTCCACAAAATAATGTCTTAATTCCTGAAAAATGTCTTGACATTATTGGGAATTTGTTTACCCAACTGATGTGTCCAACTCAGGTCTTTCTGTTGGAAATCATCTGCAGGGGTTAAATTCAGCTCTGTTAATCACAATTTTATAGAAAATCAGGTGAAATAAGACAGCTAACAATCTCAGTCACTTTAAGCTTCAAACCTCTTTTAGTTAAATTTTTTGGATTAAAGACTTATTGTAAAGCTGCATCTCCAGGTATCATTCAGGTCATTGAGGATTAGTGTTGCAGTGAAAACCACCTAACCCAAGACCAAGTCGAGACCAGGATCAGAGTGTATCGAGACTGAGACGAGACTTTTAGAGATTGGACCAGGATGAGATCAAGATCAAGGGAGGGTGAGACCGAGTCAAGACCAAAACCAAAATACAAAACGTAAATTACAAATGTAAACATACAGTATACTGTGCACAGGTAGCTAACTTAATATGTATGGCTAATATCGACTAAATTTCTGTGTGTGAGGGCTGGGTTAAGAATTTGGATACAGAGGCAGATTGCTAACATTTCATTCCTTTCTAAGTGACAATAAAAGTTTGAGTCCCCACTGTCTCTGAAGAATTTATAAATCGCTGTATGACTTCTGAATGTTGTTTAACAAATATACTCTTTATTCTTCATGTAGCCAAATTATATTACTGATTTTCAAATTCAACTCAATTCCAAATTATTTTAATTTTTTAAAGGGGCAATATCATGTAAATTCAACTTTTTTGAGTTTTGTATCATGTTATAATGTTATACTC